GACCCAAGATGCATGTTGCTACAATTGGCAAATTAATGCCTACCTTCAGCAGCAATTAATAACGATTAGAAGGACACCGACAGGGTTAGGTCTTTGCATTTAACAAATTGCACCTTCCGTTTCTCCTTGCCACTGTTTGACCCAATGGCCCTTTCAAAGACCAACACATTTACCAGGAAAGTCTGCATTAATTAAAAACTGAAACTTGTGTTTTACAACTTCAGCTGTGCCCAAAGACCGCCGAGGCAAAAACAGCCAAACTTCCACTCATTATTTTTAACTCTGCAGGACAAGTGAAGGAGCTGCGCTCCGCCTGTACTGCACTGACACAATCTGAACTTTAAAAGAAAGTCTTCAGCCAGGCAGATCACCGACGTATAGCAAATCTGTCGAGTTAGGACAAAGAAACCATTTTTACAAAACCATTACCTTCAGGATGAAGGAACTTTCTTTCGTTCGCACCACCGGTCAAAATGAAAAATAATACATGTTGTTTAGCTCAGACAGGAGAGCGACACAGTGCCACAGAGGTTAGAACTGCTGCCTGGCAGCGCCGGGGCCCCGGGTTCAATTCCAGACCTGGTGCTGTCTGTGTGGAGTTTGCATGTTCTCCCCATGCTCACATGGGTTTCCTTAAGGTGCTCCAGTTTCCTCCCACGGCCCAAAGACGTACTGGTCGGTGAAGTGTCTTCTGGGAAAGCTGGTCCCCGCACATGTCTGTGTTTGCATGTGCCCTGCGGTGTACTGACTTCCTGCCCAGGGTGTACCCTGCACTGTGCCCACGGCCTGCTGGGAGAGACCTCCCTGTGACCCTGTACCGGATACTGTGGTTGGGAAACTGAAGGAGCCCCAGGAGCTACAGTGTGGAAGACCTGGATGTGGAAGTTCTGCCCTGCTCAGCTGTGCTCTTGTCTGACCTGATCTGGGCATCTACTCTCACACCTGGAAGTCTGAAACTGTCTGAAAAAAAATGCTTCTTCTGTCACAAGACATTTTTTAACACCTGGAAATAAATGTTTGTTTAATAATGTATAAAGTAATTTTAATTATTTATTAAATTAATAAAACTAGCTCAACATTATTATAGGAGACAATATTCCTGCCTTTTACAAGCTGCCTGAATACACATTAAAAACAAACAAGCACAGTTTTTTTTGCAACCTTTTCATTCAATATGAAATGAATAAATAAAAAAGAATGTTGCATTATCTGAAGAATTGTTATGGAGAAACTTTTCATTAACTTAAAATGGGAAACAATCATGTGTGCACTCACAGAGCTGGGCTGAATTTCCCCCACTAAACAGTTTCAAGTAATTGTTTAAAAAACCATAAATATTAAATTACTTCACTAGTGACTATTAATATAAAATACATAAAGCATCTGCTGTACATCAATCTCATAACAGTGAGCCTTGGTACAAAATTCAATTATTAAACACTTTTCATTAAAATACAGCTCAGGTATGGTGGCATGCAGAAAGGTCCGCTTTTCCCCCAAAAAATCATTAACTGATCTATTAAGATAAACAGATTATCTGACATTCTTTAAAATGAAGAGCAATGAGGCCGGCAGCCCTCTAAACAGGATGATACATCTTAATTCCCTGAAAATGGTTCAGCTTTTTCCATCAGATCACTGCATCTGCATTGCCCAAACATGAATTCTGCTTTGAAAGAGCTATAAAATTTCCATTGCACATCTCGGTGTATCCATTAGCAGTAAAATTGCCTACAGAGGTTTAAATCGCAATGGAAAATGGCCAGGGATAACAAGCCTACCCTGCTGCTACATGTCTTATACAAACTTTCAATTTATCACAGCCGAACGGAGCTGTCTCTGGGGCATCAAAACAGCAGACCAACAAGAGTGAGACTCCTGAGTGAACAGATGTAACAATGCAGCAACAACAATAACTCACCGATTACAGGCGATAGACATGTGTGGAAAAGCACATGGAAACTATTTCAAGGTAAACTAGAGATCATCTTTATGGAGAACAGAACCTAGAAAATAGTAAACATAGGTTTAGAAAAGGTAGGTAATGCTTAAATGCTAGTTAGAGTTCATTGAACAAGCAACAACAGTAATGGACACACCTATCATATATGAATATTGATTTTGTATTAGGCTTTTGATGTAGTTTGTCATAATTCTAAAAATACAGGCAGTATGCATTACAGTGGGAAAATGCGTGCATTTAGTTTGAGAAACGATTAACAGAAAACACGGAGCAGACAAGCTGAGGTCCTGAGACTGGTGTGAGGAGTACCACAGGGATCTGTACAGGGACACAGCACTCACTCATTTAGATCAGTGATCTAGATGACAAAATAGTAAACTAGTCAAGTTTGAAGATGATTTCAAAACAGGCGGTTCAGCACGAACTGTGGGAGCAGCGCAAGAAATTCAAAGAGGACGTTTTAGATCAAATCAAAGACTGGCCTAACACCTGCGCTACAGACAGGAAGTAAAAACAAACTAAACGAAATTGGAAACACTGAGGTTGAAGAGTCTACTTATGAAACAGAACGAAGGCGTGGAATTTAAATAATGACATTATTTAATAACTTAAATAATAATTAAATAATTTCAATAATAATTGAATAATGCACTACCGCATTTGGAATACTGTGTACAGTTAAGGTCATCACATTACAAAAAAGACAAAAAGATACAACCCACAGAGGTACAACCAAATACATTTCCGGTTTCTAAAATGGATGTCCTGCGCAGCCCAGCTGAAAGTGAAATAACTAAACCAATTTACTCTTCAACACAGACACGGGCCTCAATTTTTTAAAACTACTGGAGGGGTTCGTCACAAAACTGTATACCCATTCTGCTACAGAAAAAATAAAGCGGCTCTTACTGTTACTGAGGCGTCATACAGTCGTCACGGAGAAGAACGTGTTTCTTCGCCTTCTGATTAATTTATTAGGGCGTCTTCAATGTCCATTGAAATGGACAAGTCTCCATGAATATGAAACACCAACATGCATTTAGATTTTCCTTGTAGAACTGGCACGTTTGGCGCATTCATCACTTCGCTTGATGCGTCGTGGCGACAGATATATTTCAAAAGGATAAATAATAGCATGACTCTCCGGTGTCAATAAAAGCCGAATCCGCATTTGTAGAAACCTTTATTAAGCGCCTACCTCTGTACAAATTCCCTTCCCAGCAGGATGAACCACGTGAATATTGATGTTGAGTTTTCCCGAAAGTTTTCCTGTCTGTTTAAGGCTTTGCTTCAGTGATGGGTTTTGCTTCCTTGCTCTTTGGCAAATGTTTTTCTTACTATCAATTCAATTAAAGTCTAATTTGACTAAAGGCCCTTAAGTTAAATTTGACTTAAAGTCAAATTAACTGCAGATGCTGGGATTTGTGTGTGTTTGTTGTTGTTGTTGTTGTTGTTGTTGTTGCAGGTCTAGTTTTACAAATGATTTTTTTTTTTCATTTCTGAAATACAAAACTCATTAAGTTAAGTTAATGTTACGTTTGCTCCCTGGCAGCGGCTGCCCAGTGCCCCCTTTCTTCAGATCAAAAGTCAAGTTTAATTATGATTCAGCGATAAATCGCTAAACGTTAAATCAACGAAATCATAATTGACAGTCAAATAGGTCGACTGTGGAATCCGTGACAATAATACTAGATGGGAGAGCGGCTGTGGGTGTTGTGCGACATTACTATTTTCCGACCACCGTGGCTGGGAATGGGCTTTTTTTAGCGGTTGATTATAATGGTAAAGCCAGAGAGAGAAATTCAGTCTTCCAGTGAAACAAGGATGGGTCACCTACAAATGTCCGTCCTTGTAGCACACTGCCAAGGAATAGAGATGTACCGTTGTCAGTGAATATGGCTCTGCTTCTCATGCAGGTTATCAATTTAAAATCCATGTGTGAAAAGATTTGTTATGGCATGTTTTTTTTTTTCATAACCAACAACATGCGCTACTGAAACACTGTGTATTCTTATAAAAATAACCACTGTCATAGGACAGGAGGGAACTGAAAGCTAAGGAGCCATCCTTCGGATGAGATGTAAAACCAAGGTCCTGACTCTCTGTGGTCATTAAAAATTCTAGGGTGTTTCTCGAAAAGAGTAGTGGTGTTGCTTTAGTGTCCCGACCAAATTTCCACGAGGTCTTTACCAATCATGGCCTCACTGGAGCATCATCCAGGTGGGGCTGCACACTGGTGGTGGTGGAGGGGAGTCCCCATGACCTGTAAAGCGCTTTGAGTGGAGTGTCCAGAAAAGCCCCATATAAGTGTGAGGAATTATTATTACAATTATTATTATTGCCCAACTCATCACAGCAGCTGGGAGACTGTGTGAACGATTCCAGCGCTCAGGGCTGGCAGCGCCTGGGATCGCTGCCTGTGTAACTTGTGCAGTTGCATAGTTTCCAGAGGGTAACCCTACATGTTGCTCTGCGTGAGATCCTGATTCTTGCAGCAGGCCAAGGGGCCTGCACTCCGAGCGTGAGGCAGTGTCACTCGGGAACGCAGGGTTGTGTTTTTTTGTTATACCTAAAAGTGGCTCCATATATCCTTAAAAGTGGACCTTCCTACCCAGTAGGAAGCTGCAGCTGAAGGGGGTGCAGTCACATTATCATCGGTTTGGTCAGCACCTGAGACAGTAATGGTCCTCTTCGCCCACAGCCTCTATATCGGAACAACTGCCAGACAACACTGCCTTCACGCCGATGGGATTTTACTCTGAGCTGCCTAATGATGGAAGTGAGTCAGCTACAGGCTAAGAAGCAGTTGGCTAAATTTGTTTTTGTGTAGAGCCTGTAAGAGGCGATTTGTTTAGTAATGCCTCTGCAACATGCATTTTAATGTAATCTGCTCTTGGCTGCATCCATCCCATTATAACAAATTAAACCGTGAGCAGAGGTTCCTCCTCTGCTTCGCTGACTCTCCAAATCACACTTTAATTTTTCAAAATCCAGTTGTTGTTTTTGCTACATTCTTCAACAATGAAAAGCTGTAAAGTATTAACCAAATATTTATTGCTTGGGAATTAAAAAAACAAACATTGTGTAAAAGAGATGCCTATTAATCTACTTTTTCACCTCGTTTTTAAACATAGCTTTTTTTAGTTTCTATAGCTTGCATTTAACCCTTACTGCAAACTAACTTGTAGTTCCTGGACCTTTTTTAAGTAAAAATAGATGTGTTTGTTTCAGTTATTTCCTTCTGTGATTGGGATAGACCTATTGCCCCATGTTTCTTGTTTAGTTTAATTTTTGCATCCTGACATTGGTGATATAGCTCAGAACATACAATGAATTCTTGAATTTCAATAACATTCAATAGCATTCAATAAACACATCAAAGAGAACGGGCTAAGTGAACTACAGAAAACATCAGTCATTTTTTTTCCTTAGACCACAGAAAGTCAGGAGTGTCCAATGGTGTGGGCTGGCCTGAGTTCTCCCATGATTCATTGCACACCAGGGGAAGGGCTGCCTGCCCTCCACAGCTCTGTGCACCTGCGGGTCTCTGGCTTGTCTGGGCCGAGAGCTGCTGTACAAGTGCCCGTCAGTCATGAGCCCGTCCTCATTCTGGAATGGGAGTAACAATGAGACTTCCATCATAAAACAAGGACATTTCTTCTCACTGAAGGTTTTATCATTACAAGATCAATCCACGTCAGTGTCATTATACTTATCGCTGCTGTGTTTCCAAAACAGCAGTTCTTTCCTTGCAATCACTCTGTGTGCCGTTTCCTCTGGGGTCAGCAGCGGGTCCTGTAGATAACTGTGTGGCTCAGAGCACTGTGTGGCAGATAAAGATTTGTTGTCCATCAGTAATAAGACCGTTCTGGTTTACAATAAGTGAAAAGTTAGGGCTGTAGGGTAGAGAAATCTGAAAAGCCAGGTCTCACGTGGTGACCAGAGGAAGGGACCTGAAGTAGTTAATAGGGCACGTGGCTTATTGCCACTGCAGAGTGAGATGATGTGACACCGCAGGGCAGATTAAAATATGCATTACCGCAAGCCCACAGCCTAATTGAGCACAGTGGAGTCAGCTGGGCTCCTGTCACCCAGAGAGTAATGTGATTTGTCAAAAGCAACATATTTGCAAGAAGTTGATGAAACATTTATAATCACTTTTAAACACCCTTAGATGTTGCGCGGAATATAAAATTAATTCTTGAATTAATTGAAGTTTTCATTAAAGCATTAGCATTTTCAAGTCTAACCTTAGGCACTTTTTGATAGCCGATCATCCCACTTGGTGTGGATAAAACCTCTATATCTCAAAGATAGTCTTTTAAAAGTTTAATAGCTTTTTTAATGACATTAATCCCTTGTCTCACTACAGTGCAGGAGGAAAAATCATTAGCAGGTGCAATTGGCGCTTGGCACTTTTAAATATTCTTTTAAATATTTAAATATTTTTAGCCTTTGTTTAGTGATTGTGTGACAGTGTGAGAGCTCGAGCGAAGCTGCCATGAACTCATGAGCTCAGATATCGCTGACAATGTCAGAGCCACTGCGAAGGAGAAGATTTTGCCGTCAGTGTTTTGGATATTTGTTTTACAAACTTGGCGACAGTGTTGTCTCCATCGAATCTTCAGAACATCTTCACCTTGGTCCTGCTGTTTGAAAGCGTTGGTAAGTAAGCTGGTATAATAAGCAAAGGCAGAGTTTTGTAGAGAAATGGAGTAGATTCAGAACCCTAGTGACTTCAGAGTTTGAAGGCATGAAATTTATGTGCGGTGCTTTAGAATTTTACTAAAGCACTCACGGCAGAGACGGTGTACAAGAAATATTCATTAACAACATCACAATGATTAATTGTAATGCTACCTGCAGCGGGAATAGTGATAATTCCAATTAAATGCAACATGCACTTTCCTGCAAAATCTTCACTCGGATCTCGAGAGTTTCCCCGGAACGCAAGGACTTGACAAATGAAGTCCTTCCCTTCTCCTCTGGTGGTCCCTGAACCCCTGCTGAGTGCCTCGAACCCGGGGCCTTCAGCGCGTTCACGGTGGTTCTTGCCCTGTGCCATCTTCCTGCTCGGCCACAAGCTGGTCTGGCTCCTCCCTGCACCGTACACAAACAAGCAAAGCAAAGCAGGCAAGTGCTTTCTGTCATCCATTAACTTTTTGCTTTTCTACCCGTTATGGATTTTTCTTGTCAGCCAAACTGTAAGCCCAGGCAGCTCATTAGTCCTCTTTTGCAATTAGCTACATCACCACATTAATCCGGAGCTCTGAGGACGGCCTCTGTCTGTTTGCCGCCAACATGTGCCCTGGGTATGTTTCTGCTTTACCTCTGCTCATCAAACACAGTTTTCCTTCCTTAAGTAGACTTTTCATCAGGCCCTTCATCTCAGCTGGAATAGTCAGTGCAGATCCAGATGGCATGCCAACAGCTGCTTTATGCTAATTGCTGAAACAAACGCAAAGCAATTGCAAGTTAGCATGGTTTCCTTGAGATTCATATTAATGAGTTTCTGCAACAATGCGTAATTTAAAACCCATACTTGTGGATAAGAGTTTGTACAAGACAACGTTGTTTTTAAGTCTTTTAGAAAGGTACTTTTCTATTTGTAATTTAACATATATTCTGTAATAATATGTGTAGGACTATCCTAGAAAAAAACAACCATGTAAGAAGACTTGAAGCAAAAGTAAGCAGATACAGATGTTTGTTTCACGATTTATAGTGGATATAAAGCTTTAGGAAGACAAAACAGTAGCACCACTAAAACACATGAAAATTAGTATTGAAAAACCACGTCATTTCTTGACATCTCCTTTGGGTGTACATTAACAACAATGGAAACACTTTGGGTTAGGTTTTGAAAAGTAATTTCTAAAAATTTTACAAATGGAAAAGAAATAGTGAAAGAACAGAGTGACAAAAATGGGAAAATAACCAGCTTTGACAGGAAGTGTAGGCTGACTCCTCCCACCCACCTTCAAGCCAATCGTCTTTTGACATGTCACAGACAGGACCTCCCCACAGTGGAGGATCAGCACTGATTGGATGAGAGACACATCCCTCACTGACAGTGCTGTTTGGATGCAGGGGTCGTTGTGCCACTGTTACAAGACAGAGTCCTGGCTGACTGATCCCACACCTGTCCTGTTCCTGTCAGGTCCTCATGGTGGACAGCATGTCTTTCAGTGGGGCATTTTAACTGCACAACAGGCCTGTGTACCACAACCCTTCCCCCGCAGGCTGTACTACTACTACTAACTCCTTACACTTCTATAGCACTTTTCTGGACACTCCACTCAAAGCGCTTTACAGGTAATGGGAATCCCCACCACCACCACCAGTGTGCAGCCCCACCTGGAAGATGCGATGGCAGCCTGAGTGCACAAGTATGCTCCCAACACACCAGCTCTCAGTGGTAAGGAGAACAGAGTGATGAAGCCAGTTCAGAGATGGGGATTATTAGGAGGCCATGATTGGTAAAGGCCAGGGGGGAATTTGGCCAGGACACTGGGGTTACACCCCTACTCTTTTCAAGAAACACCCTGGGATTTTTAATGACCACAGAGAGTCAGGAGCTTAGTTTACATCTCATCCGAAGGACGGCGCCCTTTTTACAGTATAGTGTCCCCGTCACTATACTGGGGCATTAGGGCATTAGGACCCACACAGACCACAGGGTGAGTGCCCCCTACTGGCCCCACTAACACCTCTTCCTGCAGCAGCCTCAGCTTTCCCAGGTACTCCTGGTACCAGGGGTCACTGCTGAGATGAAGTCGGAAGATTCCTCAATTCAGGGGTACTGATGAACTGTGAGAACTGCGAATGAGGCTCAGCTTGTTGTTCAATTTTATCATAGAATTAAATTTCGTCTGAGAATTCTGATGTAGCCTTATTTGATTTGCAGAAGCCAACAGCCACATCTTTACGGAGAAGAGAAATCCATCCATCCATTTCCTAACCACATGATCCCATTCTGGGCTGTGAGGGGGCCGGAGTCTGTGCCAGCGAGCATTGGGCGCGAGGCTCAGTAAAGCAGAGCTGAATACAAACCCTGAATTTAAATGAGAAGATTCTAAGAATTCCGGATAATTTAATCTCTCTAAGTACCTCTCTCAGGCTTAGTATTCCGTATTGTCCTGAGCATGTATGTATATTATTTTATGATGCAGCAAACTCATACTGCAGATGGGGATACAGGCCAGGCTTGTGGATTTAGCTGCATATTCACACAGTCAGAATTTTGCTTACAAAAGATGCTAACAGGCACATACAGTACAGTTTATGCAGCAAAATCTGCTGATCAATATATTGATGTTATATTAAATTTCTCTGGCATGATAACTCTATAACAGAAGTATTTGTGCCCAGTGCATGTGGAAAAATATATATAAAGAGAGAAATGAGAGACCTCGATTAAAGCAGCCTCAACTGTGGCTGTTGCTAATCCCAAGAGGCACTGCAACTCATTTAATCCTCTCTGCAGTGACCAGTCAGCCATTGAGACATTTCACAGCTGCCGAACCCAGTATGCCTCTGTTGTGCTCCAAAGATGAGCCTACCCTAGAACAATCATCTGTTCCTACTGTTAATCCACAAGAAAAGCTTTAAAGATTACATTTAACCCTTGTCCAGCTGGACTCCTTTCACAAACGAGCTGCCTGATCTCTTCTAGTGCTCAGATTCGAGCAGATCATTTTCATCCAATTATTGTTTAGCTGAACCTGAGAGCCCACGGCTGCAGAAAACAAAGATCGACTTTGACAGAAATTGTATGTTTTGTTCATTACTTTTGACCCTTTTCTCTGTCTCAGTGACTCCAAACCTAGACAGACATATAGATCGGTACTATCTATATTATACAGACCTGAAGCTAGAAGTATAGATGTCTACTTGATCAGTGAGAGCAGAGCACACTCGGACAGGCAGATCAGATTCGTCATATTCATGAACAGGCCAGGCTGCAGGGAAGGACCCTAGTCACACCAGTGAGCGGCGCAGGTGTGAAACAGCCAGGCCCAAGTGACACGCTGCCCACTGGGGCCGAGTCGCCAGCTGCAATTAGTGTGTGGAATAAGAGCAGCAAGTCCATCGCATGATGCAACTTGTTCCCCTGTACATACAAACTGGTGCACAAAACTGCCTGCAATTTTATACAAGGATCTAAAAATTGGCATTGTTCTTTTGACACTTGAAAGATGCTTGGGAAAAGTTTGATCCTACCTGCATCAGACAATTGATGTTCTGTTTAGCCCCTCTTCAAATTCTGAGGAGACCCTGGGCCACATCAAATCAAATCAAATCAAAGTTTATTTATCAAATGCACAACAATACGGCGTGCAGCAGAAGTTTCTGGCAATTAAATGTATTTTTCTGCGAACTCACAAAAATTCACAAAAACACAAAAATCACAAACTTGAGGTTACATTTTTGAAATTGAATAAAACTCAATGTGAGTAGAGCTGTTATGTGTCCATGGTGTGTGCAATATATACATGTAGTGCAGTTATGCTGAATATAGTGAGAATTGTGTGTCCATGTAGCCATTAAAGGTGATAATTTACATGGTTAACTCATGTAAATGAGTTATGCTAAATCATCTCTGCTTTTAAGACTGCAAAGCAATATTCTTCATCCAACAGCAAATAAATAAGCAACTTTCTTTTTTGTCTAGTTAATCAGCATTCAGGTGATCAATGTGGTGGAAAGAACGTGTTATTCTACCCAGTCGACAAGTACAACTCAAGGAAGTTACCGTGCACGTGTGGGTGTGTGTGAGATGAGCTTCCAGACACACAGTGCAGACACCTTTCTGCAGGGCTGTGCTGAAAGTTTACTTTGACAGTGTCTGGGGCTGAAGCAAAGGTCAGAGCTTTCCAGTCCTGCTTACTGCAATCTGTTCCAGCCTAATGTGAAACTCCATTATATTAGCACAACACAGCTAATAAGAGGGGCTCATAACATCTCGTGGCCTTAGCCTTGCAGACAAAATACATCGCGCTCAAAGAATTTCTGCTACAGGAGATTTCATTATAATAGTCTTTATTCCCAAGGCTGTGAGGATCTTATCTGTTTCCTGGTAACACTGTTTGAGCAGCGGCAACAGAATTAATTATACTTCATTTGGCATCTTTAACAGTATTGACCAAATTTAAGAACAAATGAGAAATGCTTATCAAGCTTGAAGAAAATAATCCATCAGTGGCAGATTTTAAATTCTCTGCAGTTCTCTTATTAATCAAAGCAGCACTTACTATCCTATCTCCCTCTCCCATTAACAGCCATTAAGCAGGGCTGCTGATTGAAGCAATTTCTTTTGGGATCTCATACTCATTTTAAGGGAGCCTTTCTTCACAAGCTAACTATCACAGCACACAATTAGAGAGGCAGGCGGAGAGGGAGAGAGCAGCTTCGCTCGCCGTGACCTTGACACATTGCACAAAGACAACAAGGGAAACCGGCAGATTCCGCCCCGACACGAGCAGCAGCAGCCTCATCTGGAATGCAAATACCAGGTCTAAAGCAGCATTATGAGCTCTGAATTGGACTGAAAATAACCAATTACCCAGGCCTCATCAAGAAGAATAAAACCCCCTTCAGATGCAGAAATAATTAGGGAAAGACTATGTCATCTCAGAGAATAGGGGTTGCAAAGCTAATGCAGAGGTAGAGAAGGACCGGAGAATTGTTAGATCAACTTTATTCTGCAGACGGTCCAGCTTCCCTTGTAATTAATGCAGTAGAATCCTTGAGAATTCCTGCAGTGGAGTCTTACAGAAACCCTGAACAAGTACAAGGAAAATATGAGCATTCAGAGTACTAAGCCTGCTTAGTCTTTCAGCTGGAGTCCTGGGGACACACAGGAGTGAGGAGTCCTGCTGTCCACTTGACCACAGCCCTGCTCACAATGACACCATAACGTCTTGGGAAAGTACTTCGAACTCTGCAGGTTTAAATCACTGTTCTGAGATGCTTCGTTATCTCCAAGCGATTTAATGACATTTTCTAATATTAAATTTTCTCTAAAAAATTCCAGCACAATAACCAGCTCTGTTTTGTGTAAGTACTGTACCTACCAATTTCTAAGTGCTCCTATTGTCCCTCCAGTGTGGGCTGTTCAAGTCAGATGAGGTCACTTGCTCTCAGCCTTGACCAAAGCCTGGCCTTCCAGCCTGATCCTAGGTCATGACACAGCCCCCAGCCTGAGCTGCACAAGTTCCCCCCACAGCTCAGGTACAGAACAGCCGGCGTTTTACAGGACGAGACAGAAGATCGGTGTTCATTCTGTAAAGCAAACTAGCAGGATGTGAATAATAGTAGAACTGAATCAATATGGTTTGTTTTTCACTAGAATTTCTGTTAATGCTACTATATTAGTGTAAATCTGAGCAGAGTGTTTGCTTTCATATTTCAGCACATTAAACATCATTGTTATTAACTTATTCCCTTTAAATTCTCTCACTGGACATCACAGTACTTCATTGCCTGGAAGTCAAAGTAGGTAGAGTAGATAGCTATACATTATGTGCTTATAGAACATTAGTGGTTTGACTTTAAAATGCACATAATTTCAAGAGCAAACTGTTTGGCACAAATGAGAGGCTCCTTCTCCTGGGCTGACCTGTAGAAGCTGGTCCCTGTACACCTCCCTCTGAAGCCTGTTACTGATGTCTTACCTAATGTAGTCGATGAATCTCGAGGGCTGTGACAGTCCACATTCGGGGCTCGTTCAGGTCAGCTGCTGGAACAAAGAGAGTGAAGAGAGAGGCTGCAGGGAGGAGTGAGGCCCAGTTGATTTACTGAGCGGCATCACTCCCATCTTCATTAACGCAGCTGGACAGCTGACACTAACGCCTGACACACTGCAGACATCTAACCCGGAAACCATTACATCTTTCCCTGGAGGTCAAGAGTGAGCCTTATGTCTCTGTCCTTTAAATTGGATGTGTGGCTGACAGCCCCCCATAATAGGTACAGGAGCTGAAATACGGAACCCGGGCTGGTTCCCGTATGACGAGGCCTCTCAAACAGCTGAATATTCAACGATGTATCATGTCATATTTATATTTAATCATCATTACCAAGTTTTAGTGCCTGTTTGATAAATGGTATCGTGATGTTTATCTATAAAGATTGATGCTTTGTTGTTAAACAGCTGTGCAAAATATCGTGGCCAAAAATGATAGAAAGTCAGAATCCCTTCAGCAGCAACAGTGATTACAGTCTACAAGTTCACGTGCACTATTCTACAGGGTCCTCACAATGGGTCCACACTGGGACAGCTCCCTGCATCCAGCATCCACAGACCAGAAGCTCTGCAGAAATACTGATTTTACACCATCAATCTATACCCTGCCCTGTCCACCAAGCTATATCACCTATAGCGAATCATATTCTGTTTAAGACACACAAATGTGATGAATAGATATAAAACTGAATTCAACTTTTATGTTAAAGTTCTTATGTACCGTATAGAACTGTAGCACAGTTGGTTAATTTGCCCTTTTCCTTTCTCTTCCAGTCAGACGCTGAAATATTTGAATGAATTGTTAACTTCTTCCAAAGAAATCGAAATGTATGTATGTATATGTCCATTTTTGAAAAAGCTTTCCCAACAGGATGACTTATTATAAATATTGAAATCGATTAGTGTGACAGCTGTGCAGTGGGGCCATCTCCCAGCAAAGGAGAAGAAAAAACTCACGCTCAGGTCTTGTTTAACATTTTGAGAAACATGGGAAAACAGGCCCTGCTTCCCAGAAACCACACCTAGAATACGTGTGTAGGGCCATGGTCTTGCACACAGCACACAGACAGCACACCAAGCGCTACAGTTCCGCATCTTTGAGGAGAGTTACCCTGCGGCCATTGGACAGGTCTGCCAGCACCTCAGTTATACTTTACAGCCAGAGGCAGGACATACGCCCTGTTGTCAAGACGAGAAGAAGTGTGCTTGTCTCTCAGGCCTGCTGTGCCTCAGCCAACACTGACAGCAAGCACCAGCACGCGTCTTACCCTGGTAAGCAACACAGAGAGGCCATGCGTGCACCTCTTTCATCCAGCTCCCTTAAAGAGCCACTTCCTCCTTCTGAGGGTCACCGCGGTAACCCAGAGGCCATAGTTGAGCGCCCAGAGCCTCCTACACCCTGGACAGGACATAGGAGTGGCCCGCCAATCGCCAGGCCAGTCAGAGACGCGATGGATACAGCAGGAACCAGATGGACAGTATGGCATAAAGTCTTTTAAACAATGAAAGATGAATTGTCATGTTGCAGGCTGGAGGCATATACTGTGCTTCAGTCTGGTTAACGGGCAGGACAGGTCCAGGACGCCCGTCCTGCCTCTGAACGCACACGGGCTGAGTCTAGAGTCTTCTCCAGCTGTTTATTCAGTTTACCTCAAGCACCCAGCACCACAAACTCCACGTCACCCCAAGATTTAGATCTCTTTAGAAAGAAGACAGCGCAGCTCGGCCTGGACCTGGAGCTCAGAGAAACCAGGCAGTCCCAGCCAGAGCATGTCCACAGTCTTCGGGGTGAAGGCAGCACCGGCAGAGACAGTGTGCCATGAACAGAGCACACTGCTGCTCTGCGCTCGGTGGAGACGAAGGAGCAGCTTTGACCAGCTGTCAGACCTTTACTGACTTGCTATGAAGTGCGACTCAACAGAGCATTAACATAACACGACGTGCGGAGAGGCCGAAGAAACATCAAACACATTCCAGAGAGCGTTAGAACTGTGGGGTTCATTTTACTTACATCTAAATAATTGCATCCATTAAAACAAAGGATGTTCCCAGTACACATCTATCAGGTATCTTTTGAGAATATTGCCTTTGAATGAAGTGGAACCATAATTAAAAGGAAAACTAATTTACACACTGCGAAGCAATTATCCCAGACTACTCTCATGCCAATAAAATTCCAATATACCAAACACATGAGGAAAAGATTAAAAAGCCAGTTATTTGCAGGCTAGAAAATGCGAATGGAAAAACAGAGTGATAGATATTATTTAGAGTGGCTCAGTGGTGCAGGGGTCAGCATTGCTGCCTCGCAGCGCTGAGGCCCTGGGTTCAATTTCAGGAGTGCCGTCTGTGTGGACTTTGTATGTTCTCTCCATGTTCATAGGGGTTTCCTCCCACAGTCCACAGACAAGCTGGCAGGTTGGCTTCTAGGAAAACTAGCCCTGGTGTGAGTGTGTACCAGTGTCCTGCGGTGAACTGGTATCCTGTCCTGGATTCACCCTGCCTTGTGACCATCCCTCAACCCGGCTCTCCTGCGACCCTGTACTGGGGAAAGCAGTTAGAAATCGGATGGATATATTATTAAGAGAACAACAGGACTGGACTGAAGACGCTACAGGAGAGCTTTGCCTTGGTGAGGGTCCTTTGGTTTGTAGCCACTCCAGCTACACAGGCAGAGCTCGGGCTTTTAGCTGCTGGGAGTGGAGCTGTGTGCTCCCAGGGGCTCGATCCTGAGTCCAGGACACCCAGCCCCCAGCCCTGCACACACACTCTGGCCTGTCAGTTCCCAGCACACAGTGCTTTCAGGAGAACAAGGCCCTGTGTGGAATTTAATAGCCACACTATATAAAACCTGCTTGCAGAAACATGCTCAGACCATGGCAATGTAGCCCAGCTATAAAATGGGTCATTCGCTGCACAGTGCTTGTTAAATCTAGAAAATAAAGCACCCTCCCATTAACAGGCCATCATTTATTTCTGCGGTACATGCTCTGCTGTGCTTTATTTTCATCCTAACACTCTGGTTTGATGGCCTTGTTTTCAGAGCATCCACACCTTACCCCTCACATTTAATTAACATGCCCATCAGAGAGGCGGCCTCGCTGCTCCCCGGCTCTCGCTGACCCCTGCCTGCACGCACGCCCTCTCCCTGCCGTAAATCAGCGCGCTTTCCCTCCCTCTCTGTCCGGACAGCGCACCCCTGCCCTGCTTTCCAACTGGCTCGAAACGGGCCGATCAGGTTTAACTCTTTCTCTGCTGGGCTTCGTGCTGGTTTCTGCAAGCACGGCTATAGCAGCTCACACCATTGACAAGTCCACTACAGTGTACATCGTCACTGTAAGCCATAACACCTGAATGCAGGATAATATTGAAGTTAAAACAATCTGTCTTGTTGCCTGTCTTTCCCCACAGTATTTAATCTCTCTTTGTTTTTGTTCTTATGATGTAAAAATATTTGAATTTTAATAATTGTATTTGCATTCTATCAAAATCATTCACATTTTCAATTACTTTTTTTAATCATAAGCCTTTATATGTTAAATTACTGTTTATAAAGAGAAGCTGTTCCCAACAAAGACTAAAAACATTGTATGTTAAATATTGCAGTTTGATATGAAAAGCTGCCTGCTTTTCCCCTACATGCACTAAGCTGAAACCAGACAAAATCAGCCCAAGGTGAGAACTCATACAAATAATTCCACTTACACTCAACTGTAGCCTTCACAAAACGTAGTCAAACATCTGTAAAATTACATTAAGGTCAGGTTTCACTCACTGGATACAGGAAATCTAAATATTTCATAAGCCCCTGAAATATGCATGTAGCTCTGAAATTGTTGTAAAACCATTGACAAGGCTGCCTTTAATAAATATTGTATAATGCACATCCTGGGTGCTGCTCTCTGTGGTGTCAAAGGCTTAGGAGAATACCCTGCTTCTGTGCACACGTACAGTACCAATATATTTCTGCAACTCAGTGCTTCCTCGTACATTGAGGATAATGCCTGGAAAGTGTCAGAAATAATGACTACCTACCTATACTTGCAATAAAATGTAGAGCACGGATTATTATAGTTGTAAGTACCAAAGATTTATTTCCTGACTGCAGGTAATGATGAATCTTTTAGCACAACTAATGTCTGGAGGAAAGCTTTCTTCTTCTCTGAGCTGTCACACAGACTATTTATAGGGCCCTCAGCGCTGTGGGGTTTATCACGAAGAGGCGATGTGTCTAAGGTGCCACTAGCTGGAAATGTTAGCAAGAGCCTCCTCTCTTTGAAGACCTTTTAGTGTCGACTGTTTGATTCTCTCTCCCCGTGTTCATGTCCCCAAAAGACAAGGGACAGATGTTGAACATCAGGCCTCCAATCCCTGGGCCCCGGCTGCAGTGACAGTGCAGACCCACCAGAACAAGGCCTTTGGCACTGCTTGTGTACAAGCTGCAATTTACTGCTGATTCTCAGAACAGGGTCAGACCGAGAGAAACTTGGCAGTCTACTGTGCAGCTGGAAAACAATATGCACAGTAAGCCGAAATCCAGTACCTTAAGCGCTAATTAAGCCATTCTCCACCAGGAGGTGAAAAAAATAAAAACTCCTACAAATGAAAACAGATCCTGACTTCAGCACCTCCAGACATGTTGTTTTTGACAGATGTACCACAGATATATGCTATAAACACACACATATATTGCAACTGGAGACTCTGGTAAGCAACTTCATGTCAAGCAATGCAGTAAAATATGCACTAATTGCTTAAAATTATTTTATTAAACAATGCTGCAGTACCAT